TGTGACCTTTGAGGACATTGCCATCTACTTCTCCTGGAAGGAATGGAGACTTCTTGATGAGGCTCAGAGACGGCTGTACTATGATGTGATGCTGGAGAACTTTACACTTATATCCTCCCTGGGTAAGGCCCTCCCCCTCCCCAGTGACCTGGACTGGGCTCTGTATTCTCATTTACCTCCCTTCCGCCTACTCCCTCTTCCTCCTTCCATTCCCCCGGCGATGCTTTTTCCTTCTCAGGTGTGGATGTGGGACTTGCCTGCTTTCCCCGCTTTTTTGGTGGTTGCATTTGTTGCTGGGTCTGGGTTGTCCATATGCCCTTTTCTCTCTCCTTTCAGCCCAGTGCCCTCTGTGCTGAACCCTCATACGGTAAGATTTGGGCGGTAGTCATTAATTAAAGCTGGCAGATTGCACCTTGCTGGCCCTCTCCTTGGCTGGGTCAGTGTATCCAGATCTATGCCATTTCTGTGGCCCAGGTTTTGATCTCTTCCCTTTGGTGATGTGTACTTGTGCCTGCCTGTGCCAAAAATTGCAGGCATTGGCTTGGTCACACTCAAGTGGACTATGGGCTACTTCTCAAGACTATCTTATGTGGTTCTTCTTGTAGTGTTTACATTTTTCGTATACCTGCCCTTCTCCATTCAGCTCTGTTAAGGTTTGATTGACCAAATTGTATCATTGAAAGTATATTACAAGATGAATTGATATACTTAAACATTATGAAATTATTACCAAAATGAAGGTGATCAGCACACTGATTACTTGACATAATTACCTTTTTCAGGCTCGTGGTGAGAAAGCTTAATATCTACTCTCAGCAAATTTTAAGTTACAGTACAGTCAGTATTAACATGTGTAGTCAACATGCTGTCCTTTAGATCCTCAAACTTACTCATCTTATAAATGAAAGTGTGTACTCATAACCATCATCTCCCCATTTCCCCCAGTCCAGAGCTTCTGGCATTCTACTTTCTGTCTCTATGAGTTCGAATATTTTGTAAGAATACCCAAATAAAATACCATGCAGTATTTGTCTTGTCCTGTGTGGTTTATTTCACTTAGAGTAAGTTTTTCCGTGTTCATCCGTATTGTGGTAAGTGCCCGTTTTACGTTCTTTTTTATGGCTGAATATTCCTACACTTGTGTGTGTACTAAGTGTTGTCACTTATCAGCTCATGCACACTTAATCATGTTTCCCTATGTTGACTGTTGTGAATAATACTACAGTGGATGTGGATGTGCAGACACTTCGTGTAGATTTGATTTTGTTTCCTTGGGATACGTACCTAGAAATGGCAATGGTGGGCCATGTGGCAGTTTCATTTAAAATTTTTTTTGTGACTCCTCCCTATTATTTCCTATAATGACTTCCCTGATTTACATACCCAGCAACAGTATTCAGCCATTCTTTTTTCTCCACATCCTCACCAACATGTTACCTCTTGTTTTTTGGTCATAGCCATTTTAACAGGTATAAGGTGATATCTTGTGGGGGTGTTTTTGTTTTTTGTTTTTGTTTTGTTTTGTTTTTTTGAATGAGAGACTGATAGAGATAGCACGTGCAAGCAAGGGAGAGAGAGAATCTTAAGCAGGTTCCAAACCGAGTGTTGTGCAGAAATCAAGAGATGCCTAAAATGACTGAGCCCCCCAACACCCCACATAACTTATGATTTTGATTTGCATTTCCTGATGATTAGTGCTCCAAGCCCTTGTTGGCCAATTGTGTCTCCTTTTCACTGTCTTCTGTGTGTCTGGTTCTGCTGCTACTTTGCAATTTGCTATAATCCTACTTGTTTCTTTTTGATTTTGTTGTGTGTGTTTTTGATGTCATATTAAAAAAAAAAATTGACAATAGTAAGGTTAAGGAGACTTTTCCCTAGTTTTTTTCTAAGAGTTTTAGGGTTTGATGTCATGTGCTGAAATTTTTAATTAATTTCAAGTTTATTTCCATGAGAGCTGTAACATACAGATCCTGTACATTATTTTTTTTCATTTGGAATATCAGATTCGACAACAGTCTTAAATAGATTATTTTTTTGGGGCGCCTGAGTGGCTCAGTGGTTGAGCGTCTGACTTCAGCTCAGGTCATGATCTCGCGGTCTGTGAGTTCGAGCCCCGCATCGGGCTCTGTGCTGGCCGCTCAGAGCCTGGGGCCTGTTTCGGATTCTGTGTCTCCCTCTCTCTCTGACCCTCCCCCGTTCATGCTCTGTCTCTGTCTCAAAAATAAATAAATGTTAAAAAAAATTTTTTTAAGAGATTATTTTTTCAACAGAGTATTCTTGGCATAATTGCCAAAAATCAGTTAATTATGTATGTGTAGTTAGAATTTGGGCTCTTTATTCAATTGCACTGGTCTATTTTTTATGCCAGTGCCATATTGTTTTGATTATATAGCTTTGTAATGTTGTTTGAAACCAGAAATGGGCTGCCTTCAGTTTTGATTTTTGTTTTCAAGATTTCTTTGCTTCCTGTTTTAGGAGATTCGGTGGCAGGGGTGCCAGTGTCCTCTGTGGAGCAGGCAGTAGGAGTCCCTGCTGAGCAGGGACCTCAGTAGCACCCACCTGGTGGCTGACAGAGATTCCCCAGCCCCTGTTTTCTACCCATCCCCCCATGTCTCTGCTAATATTGTCTCCAGCCATCCTTTCTGTGTGCTTGTGTTCTCTTTTAAGCTTCACTGTGTATTAGTCAGTCTTGATTGGACTCTTGAGCCCTCTGAGGCTACTATGATTCATGAATAGCTGTTGAATTGATTTTTTTTGGTGAAGGCTGGAATCCCGTATTCTACCATCCTGCCAACGTCAGTCACATAGGATGCCTTTCTGAGTCTGTTGTGTGCTGAGTAGCTCTGGGACGGTCGTGGCCATCCAGCGTGACCAATTTTCTTCAGTATTTCTAGCCTCCCTGTGCCCTGTAGTTGCTCACCTGGAGCCTACAGGGAAGAGTCCATACATGGACTGTATCATACAATGGACCTGATCCAGACATGACCAGGTGGGCTCACCGGGGCCTTTTTCTGGTGAATGGCAGCTGGGGAAGGTGTGATATCAGGACGTTGTTCAGATCACACTAGGTACCTTTGTTCAACTAGAGTTTGGTGCCATGCCAATGGCCATACCTCGTTCCTGTCTTTCCTTCTTCACTGTTGACAGTTTGTGTACTTGTGGGTTCTA